GGCGGGGGGGCTGGGAGGGAGCCGGGGGGGCGGGTGACCCTGTGAGCGCGTCCCGCACCCGGCCGGGCCCTCCTGCTCGCTGCCCGGGACTTCCCAGGGTCAGGGGTGGCCCCTGGCAGGGTCTGGGGGCACAGGGGCTGCTTTGTCCTCTGGGGGGCCAGGGCTTTCCCTGCGATGCCCTGGTGTAGCGCTCCCTTCATCAACAGGATGCAGCAGTTTCATTACTTGTAATTAATTAGTCAATCATTAGTCGTTTCTTTGTAGGCAGCTTGGTGGAGGGGGAGTGCTGGGAGCAGGGGCTGGTGTCCCACAGCACCGGGGCCGGCTCTGCCATCGCCACCGGCTCCCACAGCTCCGCGCTCCGGCCCAGCTCGGTGGCTCCGGCGTCGCCCACGGGAACCGGCCTCACCCCCACGGGTGTCGGGGGCTCTGCACGCACCGTGGGGGTCTCATCCCCTCTGCTTGTCCGGGCTGGCTGCAGCCGTGGCACAAGGGTAGGGGCTCTCAGCATCCTCTTTGGTGGCGCTGGAGGTCACCAGCTCCAGTGGGGAGAAGCAGCTGTGGCAGCAAACCCCTCCTGTGGTGGGTCCCCCCTGCTGCCACCCCTGGGGGACAGCCCCCCACCCGCATCCCCCAGGCATGTCCCCTGGCTGAGAGCCACCATGGCAGAGCCCGGGTCAGGTCCCAGCAGGGCCGGGCTTCTCTTCCGTGAGGAGACTCCTGTTAATGCCCTCTTTGAACAACAGCCACGGTATATCCCTAAGAACAGTAAATAGATCCCAGCAACTGCAGCTCTGCCATGCACCAAGAAACGTTCCTGACTGGTGTTGGGGGGGAGGCTTGGAGGGTCTGATGTGGGGGGAACCATGGCATCTTCCCTGGGCTCCTCTTGTTCCTGTGAGAACAGGGCTTGGTTTAACTGCTGGAAAGTGTTTGTAGTTCGTTTGACTGGACTGCAGTGCAAAAGGGTTTTGTATTTATAAAGGATTTTAGGAAACAGGGTGCAGGGGGGTGAGCTGGGAATGGCAAGGGACGGGCAGACAGCAGGTTTGTACCGTCAGGAGCCCTGTGAGCCTGGGCAGTGCCCACATTCCTCATGTTTACTTTGCATTTATTCTTTGTTGAGCAGCGAGCCCTGATTCCACATCCACTGGAGCAGGGGCTCCTCGGTATCATCCTCATGGGTCCCATCCAGGGTGTCCTGTGGGGCCAGGACTGGGCCAGGAGCAGGGAGAAGGCTGAGCCCCCCACGGTGGCCAGCACCAGGGTCTCCTGCCCATTCTCTTGCTTCTGCTCCCTGCCCTCCACTGCCTGGGGTTGGTTTGCCTTGACCCAGAACATCTCCTCCTGTGCCAGGACAAGCCAGAGTTAGGGTCCCTGCTGCAGTCCCTGAGCCCGTCCTGCAGGGCTGGACCTTGGGGACAGGGGACTGTGTTCTGGTGCTGTGTGTTTTCCCTTTGTCCCCCTCTCCTTAAACTCCTGCAGTGTTTTGGTAAAGAAATGACTGGGGGGTGTGTGTGAAGACTCCTTGGTTTTTAGATGCTAGGTCTCCTGGATTGCTGCGAACATTCCTGAGCAGGAAGAAAAGCCTCATCTCCCACCCTTCCTTCCTTCCTTCCTCCCTTCCTTGGCCACCTCTGATCTCACAGCAGAGAAAATGAGGGGGCAGGCAGCGTCCAGGATTGCTTGTTACTGTGTAGGGCAAGAAAAACTTGTGGAAAGTTCATGTGGAACTTGATGAGCATTGCTGCTGGGATAAAAAAAAAGATAACAAGGTGATGGAGAGCAGCAGGGGCAGGGGCTGGATCAGACCAAGGTGCAGCCCAGGGCCATTGGAGATGTACCAGTGGGTTCAACCCAAGATATCATTTCTCGTTTGAAATGGACAGATTCCTCTTTGAGGCTGGGGACCCAAAGGGGTTTGTGCAAATCTGTGGGAGTGAGACTGGAAGTGGGAGCTGGGGGGTCTCATGGGCAGTGAGTTGGAAGGTCTGAGCTGGTGGGACCCGGCTGGTCCTGGAGCAGGGTCTGTGTGGGGCGTTGGGGAGGGGGCATGGAGGGGATCGGGCCTCCCTTGCTCTGGCTGCTGAGAGCTCCTGGGGGATGAAGGGCCCTGGGGGGTTTGGCAGCAGGCTCAGCCACACACAGCTTGGAAACACAGCATGGCCAGCGGGAAACTGGTGAAGTGGTGACTGCCCCAAAAAGTGGCATTCTTGCCAAAAGTGGTTCAGAGGAGGGAAGGGGCAGCACCGTGCGGTGATAGCGACGTCTCATGTGGGTGGCTGAGTAGGAACACACAAAGGAGGAAATTTTGTAATTGTTCTTCACAGTATGAGGTTAAAAACTAACTGAATCAACGACAAATCGGACCCGAGCATCGCGGCCAGCATCTCGGGCAAGGAGCTTTAGCATGTGGATATGACTGGAAGCGTCAATGGATGGGCTGCTACTCCCTGTGGGCTGCAGGTGGGATGATGCCCACCCTAGGGGTGGCAGCAGTTCGGGATCACAGCACTGAAAACCCCTCTGGTGTGCTGAGGGTGTAGGACAGGAGCTACAAGGGGTGCTGGCAAAGGCAGAGGGACATTTTGGTGGAGAGCACTGAGTAACAGGAATTCTTACAGCTTTGTGGATCCATACGCAGCCGGGCACGGGTTGGAGGCTCCAGAGCTGTAGGGAGAAACTCAACTTTGAGGGCAGATGGGTGTGAAATGGGTGCTGTGTCACAATGTGACAGGAACGAGTGAACTTGTTTAAAACCAAACTTCTCTTTTTTACCCTTTCCCCTCACTCTGTTCTGCAGGCCCTGCACCCTGGCGGGCCCTGCCTGGAGCAGCCAGGGAGTGACAGGCACAAAGAGGGGTTGACTAAGAAGGAAGTATCAGTCAGTCCTTTAAAGGCTTCATCTCAGTGCAGCTGTTTGGGGAAGAATGTGCTTTAACTGGGGAAGCAGCACGTGGACTTGTTCATTGTTTTACTTCCACATCTCGTGAATGTGAAGCCACGTTTCTGCTTTGCCAAGGGTGTGGGGCCAGGTGGTGGGAGAGTCAAAAAGGGGAATTTTGTGGGAAAATGTGAATGGCTGGTGGAGAAATGAACCTGTCAGGGCTCAGCGTTCCGCTGCACCTTTGACACCCTCCCCTGGTGCTGTGCCATGTCACACAGCATGTGCAGTGGCAGGGATGGGTTTGTTCCCTGGCTACAGCCAGGATGGGCTGGGATAGAGCTGGGATTTGCCCCAGGCAGGCAAAGCCCCCCAGGGCTGGAGCACCCTGTGGGCCACCCAGAGGAGGGGGAGGAAGGATGGGCAAGAGCTGCAGGAGGAAGAACACTCGCCGGCTGCCTCTAAATTTATCTTTCCTGTTGCTTTCAGCCTTGTCTCATGTTCGTGCTCCTTGGGTCTGGGTCACTTCTTCCCTTGCTGCCCTTTCTCGTTGCTCCTCTGTAGTATCCAGCTCTTAAAGAGCTCCCTGTCCTTTCCCTGCTTTTTCTGTCAAATCCATAATTCTGTTGGTTCTCTCTGGCTGGTGTTTTTCCCTTTGCCCTCAGTCTGTTGTCGTAGCCCTGTGCCTGTGCTGGGGTCTTGAGGCCCTTTCAGTGGGGTGGAGGGGAAGCCCCTGGCTGAGGGTGTCAAACGCTGGGTCAGGGGCTTCCAGTATCCCTGGGCACTCCCAGGAGCAGAGGTTTGGGCCGTGATGTGCCCTCCTGGGCATCCTCCCAGACCTTGCCAGGCATGACCTGGCAGGTACCAGGGATGTCCAGGCCCAGCCTGGCCAGCAGCTGATGTTGGGCAGCTTCTGGGTTCCAGGGATGTTGGCTCCCTGTGTATTCCAAATGGGTATTCTGAGGAACTGGATGCCATTCCAGCCAGGACATGCATCCACAGGGACTGTAGGACTCTCCTTCCTTGTGGAGGACTTTCCCCTCTCAGTACTGATCCCTCAGCCATCTGAAATGGGGGCACCACAACATCTGAACTTTAGTACCTCCATACCCTGTGCCAGTTGCAAAGGATTTCAGTTTTTTTGAGTCATCTGGGAGTTACAACTTTCAGACACTGATCAGTTCCCTTCCTTGGTGCGCCCATGGGCTTTGCTCCAGAGATGTTGGTGTTTATTCCTTGTGGCTGGTCTGAGCCCTCAGCCCTTGCTCACAAGTCTTCTGGGTCCACCAGCTCACTGCTGGCTCCTGGCACAGACCCACGGTCAGGGTTTGTGGGGACAGGGCAGGTGTCCTCCAGAGAAAAAATAACACTTCCTAGAAGACAGAACTGTTGGGAGAACTGAAAGAGCCCTTCCTGCCCATGGTGCCAGGCCTCTTTGCTGAATTTCTTCTCATCCTTCCCCATTTTATGCCTTGGCCATTCAGATCGTGAAGCCCATCAGGGTAATTGCAGAACTCGCCTGCAGAGACCGGGCCTTGATTTATGGGGGCTTGAGTGGTTTGCTTTCATTCCGTGATTATCAGCAAGGGACACATATAGGGAAATTATTTAAACAGCTGAATATTCTGTATATTTATAGGACTTTCTTGCTGTAAGAAGACAGCAAGTGCAAAAGGCAGCAATTAAGCAGATGGTGATGGCAACAGGGGCTGGGCTGGGTCAAGCAGACTCGACATGAGCTTTGCCCTCGGCGCTGCCATGGTGAAGGCAAAGTGTGAGACAAAACCAGCCTGTGGATGCACCATAAAATATTTATTAAGATGAGTTAAAAGTACAAACATTCCCTCCCCTCTTGGTCACGGCCAGTGTTTGTCCACTGTGCTTTCCACTGTATCCCTCACGAAGGTCTTTCTGAGCACATCGCCTGGGGGTGTTTTGCCCCCCACTGTGAGATGGGGCCCCAGGCAGCGTGAGCCGTGAGCCGTGATGTGTCCCTGCCCAGGGTCTGATCAGCAAGGGACACATATAGGGAAATTATTTAAACAGCTGAATATTCTGTATATTTATAGGACTTTCTTACTGTAAGAAGACAGCAAGTGCAAAAGGCAGCAATTAAGCAGATGGTGATGGCAACAGGGGCTGGGCTGGGTCAAGCAGACTCGACATGAGCTTTGCCCTCGGCGCTGCCATGGTGAAGGCAAAGTGTGAGACAAAACCAGCCTGTGGATGCACCATAAAATATTTATTAAGATGAGTTAAAAGTACAAACATTCCCTCCCCTCTTGGTCACGGCCAGTGTTTGTCCACTGTGCTTTCCACTGTATCCCTCACGAAGGTCTTTCTGAGCACATCGCCTGGGGGTGTTTTGCCCCCCACTGTGAGATGGGGCCCCAGGCAGGGTGAGCCGTGATGTGTCCCTGCCCGAGGGTCTGCCTGGAGCTCCAGGAGAGCAGAGGTGTGTCTGGCATCGCTCTGCTCCCTGCTGCTCCACCCGATGTGTTTTGGGGCTCAGATTCCAAAATGCAGTTCCTCCTGCCCTGAAGCCCTCGGGAGGGTGGGGGGCAGCCCGCAGAGCCCCCGTGCAGGAGCCTGGCTGCAGAGACCGGCCTGGAGGCTCTCAGCTGGCTCAGAACTGGAACAAAATATAACTCAGCTTAAAGAAAAAAGTAACCCCCTAGAGCTGACCTTCTTAGGCTCTAAAAGAGCCTGAGGTTACACACACAGGAGGTGTTTTCTGCAGCGCCCTGCCAGGAGCTGCCGTGCCCCCCGTTATCCCTCCCAGCACACCCGGCTCGCCCGTGTGTCCACGTCAGTCCCTGCCCATGTCGGCTCGAGTGTCACCTGTGACTGTCCCAGCTGCCTCATCCAAGTCATGCCAGGCTCTGTGCCCCAGGATTATTTCCTTTAATGACAAATTCTGGTGTTTTGGAGGAGACTTAATGTGTTCCTGGGGCTGGGGTGTTCAGGACCAGGGCAGGGCCTAGAGAGGGGTGTTGTGATGTGCAGACACCAGGGCCTGGAAACCTGTTTGCTGAACTTCAAGGAAGTGAAAACCATGTGGGGTGTCTGTGGGGTTCCCCACAGAGCCCTGGGCACAGCTGGGCTCAGCCCTCAGCTGACATTTCATCAGGGACCCCCCAGCCAGATCCCTCCCGCTCTGTCCATCCCAAAACCATTTCCAAACACACTTTGCTGAGCTGCTCAGAAGAGGATGTGAAACCCCCCCTCACCCGTGGAGCTGAAAGTCCTGTGGTGTGGGCAGCTGTGCCCTCCATGCTGGTGCAACAGTCCTCCATCCATGAAGGGAGAGATCCCCTTCTGCCTCCCCCCCAGTCTGTGGGACCAGCGAGGTGCCCCCACGGTTTGTTATTGAGCTTCTGGCCCCGCTGGTGTTCCCATGAGCTCTGCAGGGAGGTGCCCGGTGCTGGGGATTCCTGGGGACAGTGAGTCCTGCCTCCCTCAGCACTGCCTGGGCCTCAGGAAGGCTCCTCAGGGACCCGGTCCCGTTGCTGGGACAGCCTGGCAGCTGCCATCCTGCCTGTGCCTGGGCAAGCTCCACACGCAGGGAATGGAACAAGTACATTAAAATTGTTCCTAAGGATACAGGCAGCTCTTGAAAGTGGGACTGCCTGCCCACTGCGGGGGGTCTTCCCTCTGTCCTCCCACCCTGTGAGGCCGTTTCACATCCCACCGGGCAAGGCCTGTGCCCTTCGGGGTGGCTCACAGTTCCCTTTGTCACAGTATTGGCTGTTTGTTCCCTTTTACAGCCAGGCAGCGGGTCATACGCGCTGGGGTGCTGGAGCTCCTGCTTCTGTGCCGTTCCTCTGACCTCTAGCCACTTTTATTGCTCTGCTTTGAGGT